AAACTGTAAAAAAAAAAAAAAAAAATAAACAAACGTCCTCGCCAATCGTCCGTAGCCTTAAACCGTTATTTATTTTTATTTTTCGTTTTATTAGCCGTTGCGAGTATTTAATAATATTATCCGTCTCCCGCTATTATTATTATATTCGACCCGAATTTTATATTTAATTTGTCACTTCCTTTAAAAATGTTCAAAGATGACGGGTTGTGTGGAAAACCAGTAGGATTGTATTATGAAATACAGTAAAACGTATCTTGTGCGGAATTGCATGTGACCAATAAAAATTTCTACTGTAGGTAGATTTTTATATAACCGAATGAAAAGGAAAATTTCGTTTTATAGACTTTCAATTCACGTCCAATTAAAAAATTAAAAAATATCATAGTTTACAATAAATTTTAATTTTTAGTAAATAATTGCGTAGTTTGTATTAATTAAATATTTCATAATAATATCAAATTAAAATTTGAATATTTAATAGTTATTAATAAAATAAAAATATAATAAAATAATGTAGGCAGTTTAAATAACAATTTCAAATTCTAAAGCTCGTATTTTTTTGTCAGGTTTTTTCTTTAACAACGCTTTTTTAACTTGTATTTTTCCTCATAATACCGTTTCAAATAAATCACTATTCAAATAATTTCAGATTTGCGTTTTTTCCATGTTTAAAAGTATTCGCAAATGCTTTAGCGCTATTTCTTTTACACTTTCTTCTGTAACTATAATTTTTTATTTTAAACTTTAACAAATATTTGCAAACATTGTGAGAAAATGTAAGACGAGACGAAAAGTCAGGAAAACAACGACTACTTTGAAAATAATAAGCACTGTTGATATAGATTCAAAATAAAATGTAGTTATCCATCTGTAGTGATATACAAATCTGTATCTGCAATACATTTGCGGTTATTAAAATTTGTTTGATTAAAATATGGTTTGCCATTATTTTAATTCACTTGCAAAATATGGGTTCTTATATCCTGCATCCTCCATAACTGTCAATTTTTAGTTTGCAGCTTTGCAAATGTTTACAATAATTCTAAAACCAGTTTGCGGCTGTTTGCAATTAATTTGTTAAATATTTGTACTCGGTTGGGTTAATTTTGTTGTGTTAATGGAATTTATAATTTCGTGTAAGTGCTTGTAAAATGTATTTGATAACTATATAGGTGTGTAACCACGGACAGAGCATAACATTTACAATACAGGTAAATCTCCTGTGAAACGGTTGTTATATCATTACATACGTCCTCAACATGAATACATGAATATTTCAACTGTAATAAAATATCAATGGCAGCCTGGCGGTGTATTTAAATTTTTTAAGTTAAACCCCGTGTTAATTTATCGATGTAATACGCAACGTTTGAAAACTGTCAATTATAGGGATACGCGCACGTACCGGTGTTGCCCAAGTGGAAAAATAAATACATTTAATCATTTACGCTTTTCGGAATTATTTCACGAATTTATTTCCGACGCGCTTTATTTCTTAATAATACACCGTGTATACGTATATGTACGGCGAGAAGATTGCGTAGAGTTAATTTTTTAAGAAATACATCTGTATTTTTATAGATAGAGGTCAAGAATTCTTTCAAGATGAACCTGTATTCATTTATTTTTTTTCCACTCGTTCAATTGACTCGCCCAGTTCAAAACCCCCCACGCGCCGGTGCCGAAACACGTCCACGACGTCGAACAATTTTATCGCGAAAAATCCACACAATATAATATTATCTCGTACACTTATCCATAATCACTAATTATTTCCAAACGTCCGTGTCAATTTACCGGTGTGTTCTTCGGTGCACTGCAGTTGTAAACGGCCGATGTCGGCACGAGAGAAATTGTTCTGAACCCGATTCCCGTTCGACTGTGCACTGCTCGCGTATTACGTATCATAATTTGCGTTTGCACTCGCGCACAATTATACCATAACATATGAGTATACGCAACGCATACCATTATCCATATTGTAATATACGCCACGTGCGTACCGTGTTTCAAATATACTATTGTTAATATAGTTAACCGTTCGAGCGTATACTTTACGAGTATATTTATTATTTTCCATTCGAATTCAGCGCTGTGTCTTGGGTGTACGACTTAAACGAACAATAAACTGTGCGTGTGATTTTAACGCGGAGACGAGTATCGTCCGACACGACTTTTGCAGCCGTAACATTCTTTGGGGAGACGCGAAAAATCATTCGCATCGTTTACTTCGACCGGCCAATCGTGCGAATTCCTGTTGAACGTATGTAAGTGGGTACTCGGTTCGATATCCACACACACACACACACACACTCACACACACACACACACACACACACCGGGTCGTGAGATACACGAACGTACACATATATTAGTCACTCAATGTTTCCGTTATGGGTACGCATTGGTTTTAAGGATTATTTATACGATTTTGAATAAGGAATAAAAAAAAAATAATAATAAATAAAAATAAAAATACATAATCTATATAAAATAATAACGAACAATATAATATATACACAAAACTACATCACAGGAACAACATAAAATCCGATTTTTAATCGGTTATCCCATTCGAAGGTGAAATAATTCCCTTCGGTCACGCGTATAAAGTATAATATACTGTGAGTATCTCGTAATATACGACGTATTAAAATTCATTTTTGCTACCCACAGTCCCAATAATAATAATATTAAGTTCATCATATATAATAAGATATTATCGATTCCAATTTTTTTTTTCTTAAATAATATGTGGATTCAGGTTTTCTATTAAAATTTTAGTACGCATTATTCTATTAATAATGTTTTGATTCACTTTTACGTGAAGCAATAATACGTATAGGGCTGGTTTTTACGACGAAAATATATATTAGACTGGTGATATAACAGAAAATTACAATTCAAGGTTTAACCTTTCGGCGTGGTTTATAACTAACACATGCACACACACATTTATTAATAGTATTTCATGAGTTTGTGGCAATCATCATGAGGCGACCTAAATGAAAAAAATAATGTGTTATGTAAGTCGTATACAATTGTTTAGTTAAATATTGCATACTTGTTGCAGAAGTCGTATAACTGTACTACATAATGAGAACTACAAATGACTGGAATAGATTGCTTGGAATTTACATAAATAGGACGAAGGAGACTGGAAAAATAAAAATTCATAAACTAGGCGGAAAATTCGGTGTTTAAATGTGTAGTTTAACTTTTTCTAAGACTGATAATTATCATCCGTCTAACTCATGTCGGGTACTCAATAATTAAATAATTACATGTCACCATGGTATTTGTGCATAATGACAGCAATTGGGAGAGGACTCACCTACTCAAATATTTCTCAAGTCTCCTCCTCTTGTAAGAGTGTTTTATGTAAGTTGTTAACACGGACAATACATAGGATTTTTGTTGTCTTACAGCGCACACGAGGTGCATTATTTTTTTAAACGAAATATAAATCTCTCACAGATTAATGGATGTCAATACTTAAACCCTTATGACTTACCTACCTAATGTCGTCAATCGTAACGAAAATGGTCAGACTCGTAGCCGTTCTTTTAATTACCGTTTGTAGTGTTGCGCAGGTCGTCGTCACATATATCATAATATTTGCTGTCTATCCATTCGGACATCACTCAGCTGTACAGGTGATTGTTTACGATTGTCATTTCATTTACCGCGGTGATGACCAAGGAGAATTTGTAGGTGTGCCGGTGAATATAAACGTAAAGTAATATAACAGTATAATAATAGTTCACGTGCAATTTTGTCGTCGCAACTCGCACATGCATATACAACGATAGTAGTTTTCTTGATATTTGAGACATCATATCAAAACCTTTTTTTTGGTTTCAATTGCGATTTCTCTATGAACGGTTAACGATGTTAAGCCGTTAAGACGATTTTATGAATGACATCAAATTATGAAAAATACGAAGTTTTAATATTCATTTTTTGATTTTTGAAAAAAAAATAATATAGTACACTTGAATTACTTCGTTTCATTTTGATCAAAAATAAAAATGCTATTCAGTAGTCAGTCGTAACTCGTCAATACACTATACGTTACGTGCACTGTATTGGCTAAAGACAATTGATAATCACAAATATGTTGTCACTTGTACAATCGATGATATCGTGAGACTGATTTATTGTTTTTATTTTACATCAATATAATATTGGATTACAAATATTAAACTGTAACCGTGGTCTATAATCTGTTATTTGTATACCAATTGCATATTCGCATGGACAATTATATCGAGTCAAAAAAATATTTATTTATTTAATTTTCATTGAAATATCAAATTTCTTTGCACCCAATCAGTCTACGTGCATATAAGACATATAAAAATTAGAATTTGCCATTTACGGTCATCGCACATTACAAAGTGTAGTACAGATACCTAAATTGCGTATTTACTTCAAGTTTAAAAACCAACTTATTTAAAACATTTTATGTACCGGACGTACATTTTTCAGTAATATTTTTTCTTTAAGTCACTAATGTGCCGATAAATTTACGTACCTATATAATGTACGCACTCTTGACATTAGCGAACACATGCGTCGGACGTACGAGTAACCCGAACACCGTGTAGGGCCGAGTAGCCATCGTCACAGTCGTAGCCGCGCGATCGCTTCGGTGACGGTCTTCCGCACGAGGCAGATAGACGCGCGGAACAGGAGAGCGGCGGGGACGGCCGGAACGTGTGCGTACAGCGACGGGAAGGAAGTGCCCGTGCGCGCATATCGTTATCGCGATGTCGTACGGGACACGGGAACACGTCGACGTGGCGGGGATCGAGGGGCAGGGCTTCGGAAGGAGGGAATCGGAAGAAGGACGACGCGCGCGCACACGGCCACGGGGCGAAGATGACGTCGCGCGGCTAGGAAATCGCTACGGTCGGGCGTACTCGTGGCACGGGCAGGCAGGTGGGTGGGCAAGTGGTAGGTACGAGGAAGAAGCGACGGCGGCGGCGGTGACGCGCGGCAAAGTAGGAGTCGAAACCGGTCTCGTACGGTTCTGGTTCCGTCTCGGCGATCACACGTGTCCGCCGTTCAGTCCCATTATTAGCCGCGATCCCGTCGCGGACACAACGCGGACCATCGTCGTCGTCGTCGTCGTCGTCGTCGTCGCCGACCACTTCGACGAGCATCGCGCGTATTACGATCAACAGCAATACCGTTTCGGTCGTAAAAGTTTTCTCGCGAGAGGTGTAACGCGAACAAGTTCATTTCGATTATCTGTCGTCCGTTTCGTCCTTCCCCACCGTCCGCGTGGGACAACATATCGATCGAATCGAACACACGAATTCCCCTCGCTCTGGTACCGCGCGACATCGATCAAAGATCGACCGTCGCGCGTCCGTCGTTATCACTATCGTTTTTCTCACATCACCGTTCCGATCAGCCGTCCGTTTTCCGCAGACCCGCGTTCCGACCGGGGATCGTCCGGCTCACCGGTTCCCCGTCGGCGCGATGCTCCGGCCGCGCGATTCGCCGACAATCGGTCGCGCACAACGCGTCTCCGTCGGCCCGACCGCGGTCCAGTCGTACGTCGCGCGTCCAACGATGACGACCGACGGCGAGCGGCCGACATGAACACCGGATCCGGTCACGGCGCCCATGGGCCATCGTCATTGCCGAACTGGTGGCCCGTCGACCCGCGTCACTCCACTTCGACCGCATCGGATGTCGTGAGTACACCACATTATTGCTTTACGACCGTCGGTGCGTCGCCAGCACGTTGTCCGGTCCCGTTTGACGTTTCGACTACGTTTCGTTCTGTCCCTTAATCCGCCGCCGCGCACACGTGTGCGAATCGAACCTACCGCCAAACCGTTCGCGCGGATCCGTCGGGATTCGGTTTTTTCGACGATCCTCTCGCCAAACCAGTACATCATAGAACGGCTCGCGGTAGGTTCGGCTCGTGCGTTTATACGCGCCGCTTTACACGCGCGTGGGCAACATCCAAACGGCGAAACTTACCGTTTTCGGAAACACTGTACGTCTTGGTTTCAAAGTCCGAACGGGATTGCCTAAGATTTTCAGTAATAATTTCCATCCGTCAAACTGACGGACGGCATGCGTGGCGTTATAGGTGCGTTGCAACAGTTGTACATAGTTCCTTAACAAACCAACGAGTGCGTTTCGTGACTAATGAGTTATAACTCGGTAACCGTATTTGGTCTTTAGATCCCGAACACATCTAACGATGCGTATAGGGTGCATAAAAGTTAATGCGCTCGAACGGAATTTTTTTTTTCAATTCGATCTTACCCATCGGATACACACGTGACCGTCTACTGCGTCCGCGATTATTTTCGAAATTTATTTTTATAAATATCGCACTAATAGGTTTACCAATGATCGTTATTTACCACTACCAATTGAGCTGGAAGCGGTGCTCAAACGTACGCTCTTTGCCGTGAACAAACGAGTATCGTGAAAAATGTAGACAGCTCTATTTTATTGTACATCGTTAGTCGGTGGTACAATACCGCTTTGGATCGTTCTTCACGATTGTGGAATCTCGAGAACAGAAATTATTTCCCGAAAAATTACGACTTTCATCGTCGAGATCCTTAAGGTTGATGACGTGATTATTTTTAGCGATTTTAATGATTGACGGTATTATAAATGTAGTTAATTTATTTATTTCGTGTGGGATAGAAGTAGTCAAAAACAAAACATGCTGAAAAAGTGAATGTGTACAACGCTTAGGTATATATATTTATATCGGCAATTGGTAGGCACATAAACGTCTTCGGCTTAAGGCTAGAGTCTTGTTTTTGCGCGAAGGAGGACGACAAACAACGTTTCTTTTATAATATAATTCAATAGAGACTGACAGATTGAATATTATAACAACTGTATATAAAGAGAAAATTACGGGTTTAAAGAACCCGAGAAACAGTGAAAAGTGGAAAAAAAAATGTTGCGAAGATGTAATACTTAAAAGCCAACTGGACAAGCGAAACACGGTAGATCGAAAACACTTGCATTGCAAACATGTGTAATCGATCGTAGTCCGATAAACATTTCTCGTTTATAATATTTTTATTAGGTATGACATTTTTTTTCTCTATCGCGAATTAATTACTCATGCGCACAAGTATAAATTATTCATAGAGTCCGGAACCGAATGGCGTTAAGAATCGAGAGTTATTATGTTTTACACTGCCAAAGGTTCGCTTATCTGATCAATTAAGCTATTAGGTGACAAATTTAAATCACTCACGAGGTGTATACATTATAATTTTAAATGATTTTTTATCGATAACACATGGTTTATGAAAGGCTCCCACAAAGATTAATCGTTATCATGTATTGAATTACGTTATCTTATTTTTCTGCTTAAGAAATGCGCATAATATAATATATATTTTCAACGCAGAGTCCTCGATTAATCGATGTTTAAAAAAAAAAAAAATAAATAAATACATACAAAAATATATAAGTTGAACATTTTGATACCATAGTTGAACATCTATGATACCATAGGGTGCCATTTATCGATTCATTGGCCTCAGTAAAAACACATTTAAATTAACAATCGTAAGATTAAAATAACTAAATTTTTTGACGATTTGAGTGGTTTATTATTAAATAGTACTATATTATTTAAAAAATTACACCAACAAGTTAAACTGTTAATGTTTTTAGCAGATTATACCAAATGAGTTTTTTTTTCATGATCAAAATATAATATTTTTATTTTGAAACTTTAGTCATATTTAAAATTAAAACACTACATTTACTAGTCGTTTCAACTGAGTTTTTTTTTCAAATACTACAGCTTATAGTATCATTTGACATATCTACTTATTATTATAATCAATTGACACATATATAATTTAATAATGCATAGTATTAATAATTAACGTAATTAATAATGATTAAACATGAAACACTTTTTAATTAAACATAATGCTTCGAAAATGCATTTTTTACAAAAAAACAATACAACTTTAAATTAAACTACCATTGTCTTTCGGTTCTTTTAGGATAAATTATTTACAAGCTAAAAATCATGTTTTTAAAAAAATTCAAATGCCTTATCTCGGATCACATAGCTTATTAATGCTATACTTGTTATTCTTATAGGTCACGTTATTTATATATATTTCAATATTATTCTACTAAAATGGTATTGGCATCTATGAAAATCTATCGATCAATAAGAATACGAATAAGATGAGAATGTATTTTCTTACACGTGGAAATATAGTATATGTATTGCATAGTTAATAATCAATATTTATTTACCATCATTTTTGTGTCTGTATTTAAAAATATAAAAATTATTTTATACCAACTATGCATATTATTGTCATTTAAGGAGCTGTATTTTTTCAAAATTAGTTTTTTATTAATATCCGACATCTGTTCAACTATAGGTTTTAAAGCTATAACAACAGCTACCTTTTAAATTCGTTGAGTTAATATTATGATAACCAATGAATAAACCTATGATAATTCACTTCATGATCATCTTAAATAAAAGTGAAAAACGACCGCATCCGCTTAATACAACACAATTGGAGATCTCATATGTACGTTACTTAAAAAAAATAAATAAATAAAAAAAGCATTTTTTAATATAATAGTCGTAAGAGTAAATAAATTATTTCGCTATCGATTAAAATAAGTATTGCTGGACTACGGTTTACGATTGAGAACATATTTTTTTGAATAATTCATTTCCGTGATGTACTGAAAACAAATGTAATTGCTATTTCTTGGACGTATCTATGTAACACGTAGGTATTATTTATTATACGAAAACATATATCTTAACAAGTCGTTCGAAAGCAGCAGAGCGGTAATAACATTGGAGCGTGTTTTAATACGATTATGATGCACGTATAAACAAAAAACAAATAAAAAAAAATAATCTCAACAGTTTTCAACGCCGTCAACGTTTTGTAACACAAACGTCGACGGGTTATGCAAAACGAGCAATTTCGTTTTCCGTACCAAAAGAGGGGTACACCTCCGCTTAACGTCACCATCCTCGTCAACGTTGACGGGACGCAAAACCGTCTTCGCTATTAAGACGAATCGTGGAAATAATTACCCGATGTCAGAAATCCATTAGTGTACGACTTTAGGTGAAAGTCTGACGTGAATTATACGGAAAACTGTTATACGTTTGAAAACCACGCGCGCTCATTTACGTACATATATAATCTAACCTGCATAATATAATCACCGACCGCTTTCGTATTTGTTTAAAAAAATTATAATTTCGTTTTATCTTTTTTTTCCCCCCCCCCCCCCCCCCCCGTGAAACTAATTATTATAATATCGTACGCGCGCGCGCGGACACAAAGGGAACCGCCGCCGATGGAATAATACGTCAGTGTGTCCGTCGTCACACAACACGTGATGCAAACGATATCGTTATGGTTTTCGTTTGAAATCCGTAACTGTTTCATGAACGATCGCGGTGACGTCGTGTGGTTCCACGTCTAATAATAATAATAAAAATAATTATAATCGGAATTTTCAAATATCATCCGTTGTATTTGGTCGGGCGAGATTTCTTCTCCCGCATCAACCCGTCAGCAGGATATTAATGTCTACATTTACATTAGGAAAGAAAAAAAATATATGTAAAAACGACAACGGCGATTGGCGTGTGCGGATACGAGACGACGAGGGTCAGGTGGGCGCAGGATGGCGCGCACGGAAAAGATAAAGAAATTATAAATTAAAAAAAAAAAAAAAAAAAACGAAAACGAGCTTCGTACGAGGAAAACGAGGTCAAAGTTCAACTCGGTATGAATAAGGACGCGGCGCGTACGTCTTAACTTAACCGCTGCGGCGTCCTGTGCGTCGGTGCCCGAAGAAATCCGACCGGAACAACCGCCGCTAACCTAACGTACGTACGAACACACGATCCCCCCTCCCCCCCCATCCGCCGGTCGTCGGAATATCGTACAAATAGAGTCGTAACAACAGGGCATTTACATAATCTCCAATAATGGATTTACAAATGGTCCACGTGTACGCGTGTTTACACGTACGTGCGCGTACGATATTGTGTGCAGGCGAGCGGCAGACGCCGGCCCGACCGTATCAAAGACGGGTAGCTGATTATCATAATACAAGTACCTGCCTCTCGTCGCTGCTGCTGTTCCGTTCCTACCGCCGCCGTTACGGCCGTCGCAATGCCGCTGACCGTCGCCGTCCGCGTTACGATAATGGTGCACCGGACAACAAGCGAACGCAACGAGAACGACGGCCCGTCGAAAACGGGGACGGCCACCGGCGGTTCGGAACGTTTCGCCGTGATCGACCCGCGATCGTTTTTCCGTGACACGACGTCCCCCGGATGATCGCGACGGGCTCGGTTGACCGAGGAAGATTCTCCTGTACGCGTGGTCTGCCGGTGCACAGGGCTGACCGTGAAACACGCGTTAACCGAATGTCTCGAGCACGTGCAAGACGGACAATGGGTCGGAATCGACGCGTCACTCGACACCGCGCTAGGACCAGAAGCCGAGACGCGAACAAGTCGAGACGATAGACTTCATGAGATCGACCGAATTGTATAACTCGATTTAAAAATCATGTACACCTTTCCGTTGTTATTAGCCGTCGGAATACGATATCATGAAGTACACCTACTGTAATCGAATTCTGTGCCACCGTAGCTGTAACTAATGGCCAAAGATGCCGGTTTGTATGTTATTACTTGATCAAAAAAAAAAATTCGTATCATTTGCTTATCTGTACGATGTAAGTTTATCTACTCGATTTCCCGCAGCGGTTCGCTGGACCTCCGCACCGATCGTGCGCGCACGCGTCAAGTACGCACTAGCGTAACAACACGTGTTCGCGAACAAGATTCGTATGCGACAAATGGGAGAACTTGTAACGTCGGTTGTCGGTGTTTTGACGTAACGTCAAAGGATGTTACGCGAACATGTTACGACAGGTGTGGACACGTCTTCGAACATTTTTGCCAACACACAAATGTAAACTATTATTATTCATGATCAGTTTTTAAGCTTAGCTGTACTGCTTACAGCTCTTGCGGCACGGTCATAATTTGTCACGTTTAGAATATTTAATCACTATAGTTTAAATGTTTGACATGACAAGCGTCTATGCTCGTGCGACAGATTGAACTACTATGAAGTTATTCAGAAAAGTTATTTAAGGTGTATAAGTTAACTTATTGGTTAGCTATACGCGAACATGCGACGCTAGTGTGGACGCGTCTTACGATCTAATGCCGCGCACCGCTGGCCACGATATTCCTGTAGGTCGATTGCTACGGTGGTAGGGGCACCGGGAAATGGAGAAAACGCGATTTTCGAGCACTTCGATGACCAGTGACATGTATGCTTACCCTCCCGCCCGGTTATTATCTCGCGAAAACGTACTACGCGCGAGCGAATCGCCGTTAGAGAAATGTATCAATGCGTACTTCAGAATCGTTCAAAACAAACTTCATCTCGTAACAATTATGTTTTTATGTGGCGATGTCGATACTGACGTAATGAAAATTTCAAAAAATAGTAACGTTAACTCAAATGCATTCGGCAGAGAATTGATATAAAGTAGCACGTGTGAATAATTTTACTAGAGTCACTGAGTTCTCAAACACTTGGTCATATTTTTATTAAGAACATATAAAATGTTTTCAATTATTCTAAGGTAATGTATATTTTAAATGAAAATAGTTTAACAGTTCATATTTTAAAACGTGTTTCAGTTTCGAATAATATACGAATGCTACAGTGTGTTTAACTTAAATTTGTGAAGGAATTAAAATACCTCATTTTAATTCTTGACTATATATATGGTTAGGATAACCTATTAACTTTATAAATAATATTTTAAGTAAATTGTTCTTAATTTTTAAAGAAGTTAAATATATATTTATTAACTCGTACAAAAGAATTATTTATTTATTCGTGGGGTTCAATCTGTTTTTAAGTATATTTCAATATGGGGTGTATTCAACTGGTATTTTTAACGAAATTCAACGACTAATAACTGCATTATAAAATATTTACTGTATAGTATTTTCCAACCCTAACAAGTACCACGTTAATTTACAAGGAAATTTTTTTTACGATTAGTAAAGTTTTCGATAAATCTATGAATAAATTATAGCCAAAAGGAATACGACACGACCATGTACTATTATTTTTATCAAACGCGACGCCATACGATTAATTAAATGTTTTTCTGCAATTATTTTAGTCTGTGTATTTATTGAACACACTTCGTGCATGAAAAGAGCTGGAAAATCGTTAAAAATGTTCTACTAAAAAATTATTCATGTCACATGTGTAGCACATGATTTCCATAGAATTGCAGAATAAGTTCATGACAATTTTAGCACTGTTGACAAAAATAATCGCAAATTGTAAAAAAGTATTTAAAAAAATGGCAACTAGAGTAGAAATATTCAAAATAGAGGTCCCAGGTGTATGTTTATCACCAGATCCCATAATTACAATATGGAATCAGGGATTAATTCTGCTATTTATCACTGTAAAAATTTAAACACTGTTAGCCGCGTAATTGTAAATCTTGATGAAGAAAACCCGGTCTTGAGAGTAACCTAACGAACATAAAATAACTTTATAACTTTATAACTTTATATAAAATAACTTTAACATAACATAACTTCATAATTCTCATCAAAGGAATGAATAAACTTCAAACAAAAGGCCTTTCCTTAATAGCAGTGTTAAAAATAATTGAGGATATTGAAGAATCGTTGAAATCATTACGGGATGAAACAGGTACAATCGTAAAAAAAAATAATGTACAACTATATTTGAGAATAATTAGGGTTTGTCAACATTAGAACGCATTTCCAAAATATTGTCCGGCGAAGAAGAAAATAACGAATTGGACGAAGATCTTGTATCTGTATTGAACAATATAAGATTGAATATAGGTTTACATTGTTTTACGGAATTTATCAACATTGATGTCCGTTCCATTAACAATAGGGGTTAAGTAAGGCACGGCCGGAACCCAAATCAAGTTATAAAAAATACTCATTCGAAGTAACGGATGTATATGTGTGTATGTGTGTGTGTGCGAGTGTACTAGTCTAAGTGGCTCGTAAGATTAATGACGTTAATAAAAAATAAAATAAAAATAATAAATATACCTCTTGGACCATCAGCATTAGATGATGTGTCCGTGAGTTGGTGTTTTCTTCACACAGAGTTAAACGTGTATGACAATTTAGTGTTATAGGATGTTTACATCACATACGATACCGTACAATGGACCAGTAGATCTGACCACACGGGTTGCCATAGGTTAACTCTCTAATAGTAATAATAATAATAATAATAATAAAAAAAAAGCTATGCCAAGGGTCAATACGATCAAAGTCTCCATACGGTTACCTATCTGCTGCATTGGCTGTACTTGTGTAATAGGATTTCAACAATATTGTTGGACTATCATTTTATTTCATTTTTTTTTTTTTTTTTAATGAACCATAAGAATATGAATAAAATAAAGGTAGGTTTTATGTCTCTCCGAAGGCAACGTTCGCGGAGTGTGCCTATAAATCGGAGAGAATCGAAAGTCACATAGTACGGCGAGAAGGAGTGGTCAGATCATGTACATCTAATAAATTACACGCGCGCTCACGTGCAGTAAAACAATCTGTGGAAGATTCGCCTCATCTTATCAGTGTTACCATCGTCTTCCGCACCGGCATACGTATGCGTAACCACTCGAACCGTAACCGTTGAAAATAAATACGGTAGTTATTATCTCCGAAGATTCGCATCGTCCGGTACAAACGACACTCGCCACGTCAAACTTTCAGATGAAACGCGTAAACGTAGTGCGGTTTTTGTTCGTTATGCAAACCGACCGATTTCGACTTGGCGCGGCGCAACGTTGCGCACGGCATCCGCAACAAGGAAAAGAGAAGACGATCGACCCGTAAATACTTGGATACACTTGGCTAAAACGTTCAATAATGCCCCGGAACCATTAACGTCGTTCCGACGGGTTGGGTCTTGCTTGTTTTTATTTTCAAACCGAGTTTATATCACGTGCTTACCACGGTGCAATAAGTAAAATCTCGGATCGGACGAGTCTTCGCGTTACACACTTCGGTGTGTCATAAACCTAATGGTATAATTATATGGGAACCGACTCCGGACGTCTTCTGCGTTATTAGGACGGGGAGATTCTATAATTTCGCAATTGAAAAACACATTAATATCGTATGCAAATCGTCCGAGACGTTCGATACAAAGTACAAATTAAATGAGTGTGTATAATACGCGCGTACGTATCGCGTTTTCGATCTTTCTCGGACCAGTTGAAATACAATGAAAACCAACGGGGCGGGATGAGTCCAATGTTTTATGAACGTATATGCTAGTAGTTATGTGTATGCGTAAAAACGGGAAAAAATATCTCGTTGACATTACAAAAAAACCGAGAATTATTATAAATACCAATTTGTTTATATTACTGTACGTATACCTGCGCACGTACAACGGTGTGTGTGTGTGTATACCGATGCGAGCGGGAATTTTAATTCGACCGTTTATATTGTTTGTCACATACATATTAAATACAGGTACACATTTTTCAATCGTATTCATGTTTTCAGATGAGTCAGCTGTGTCGAGTTTGCGGAGAACCTGCCGCCGGATTTCATTTCGGTGCGTTTACTTGTGAAGGATGCAAGGTAATTTATTTGATTATATAATTAAGCAATAAAACCGTAGCGTTTAATTGACGTGAATTACTCGGTTTTGAAAAACACGTTATTACAGAACATTATATTTTACACGTATCTGTGTACGGATCAATTTCTGACCTTGTTCGACATTATAATATTGAACCATTACAATAATCTTATACATGTCAGCCAACGTTAAATATCTGACATTTTTTATGTATACGTATGCATGTGTGTGTGTGTGTGTGTGTGTGTGTGTGTGTGTGTGCGAGTGTGCTCGCGTACATTTACGAAATTTATTGAAACACATTGACTGTAAAGGGAGTGAAATAATAATCCCCGTTTATCGGAAGCGACTGCAAATCGCAGACTGAGTGAAAGAGAGAGAGAGAGAGAGAGAGAGAGTTTATCGAAAAGACTATATCGAGATCAACACTATAAATATTGCATTTTGTGACCCGGACGAATCATAAACTCGTAGAGACTTGAACGCGCGTCAACGGATCCTGATGGCCGGCATCTATTCTTGCCGTAACGATAATTATTATTATTGTCATGGTTCCGTAAGCGATCAAGAGCCCGACGGATTTCGTTTGCCGGGTCGTAAAGTATAGAAGAAACAATCACGTATCGTTCAATAAAACCTATCGGGATCGAACAGAACCGCGCGAAAATAACGTCCGGGAGACGTAGAAAAAAATAAAAACCGTAGAAACTAATCGAAAAGACATGACTGGTCGAAGAACGCCTACGGTGGTGCGTACCCATCGTGTACCACGTACGCGTTAACCGTCTAACGGACGACAATGATAACGTTTTACCGTACGCCGTTTACTGTTTTTATTATTTAATTATTTATTTTTTTTCAATGTTTTTTCTCTTTAAAGTTTTCGCATTTTTTTTTTTTTCAATTCGAAATCGAAAAAATAAACATTCATCGTTGCAATCGCACGCGAGACCGCGCAAAGCAATATCGCCTTCGATTACCCGACGCTAAACGGCCGGTTCGTGCATCATCATCGCGAACCGTTGCACAACGCGGCCGAACAATTAAATGACGAACGGAGCGCGGCGAAACGGTTTACGATCCGAGATGATAATAACAGCAATAACCGATAATGATGATGATATTATTACATTAATAACAGTAATAACAATGATATAATATCGAAACTATACTCACTCGCGCGTGCAGTTCGACAATGGCTAATTTATGTTTTCCCTTCCCCGGACTCGACGGACGGGCAATAATAATATAATTGTTTTACGCGTCAAAAGACGATTTTACACACGTTTCGATCGACCGTTACCCAACCGCGTGTACACCTATACTTCTCGTTCTCGTGCATGCACGTGCATCGCGTTGCACAATCATTACAATATTATTATTATTTTATTTATTTTTTATCAGCGTCGTCCGACTGACCGAATCCGTCGGATTAATTACGGTACGTAATTCGTCGTTACCGCTCAACGGTTTCTGCACTTATCTCGTTGGGAGAACGACAAACGATTGTTCACTCGAATTAGTCAAGTTCACCCGCGACACGTTAAGGCAGAGATCCCCGGCGAAGCGAGCTTTAATCGAGGGTGCCCTAAAATTGTTTCGTGTGTAAAGCAATCGTATGCATATTTGATCACAATTAAAAAGAAAAAAACGTTTATGAAGGATAAGGCCATGTGCGTTTAATCGTTCAATATAAGGACGCATTATCATTACCATTATTTAAACATATAGTTATGTATAGTAAATGTTTAAAAGAAAATTTACATTTTTAAAATATAATAATGTATGATTGTAACATGTTCAGCTAAACACACGACCTACTATACGGGAGTGCTTCAAAATGTTGGAAAATACTTTAAGTTACCGTGAGCCGAAAAAGGTTGAGCACCTATGATAAGGTGTAGATGTTAAAAGTCAACAAATAAAACGCTTTGCGTCTCAAATTAACGAATAGTAAAACATTCGTTAAACTTAAAAAATAAAAATTAATTTATCTTGTAATTTACGCATGGATCGTAAAAAAAAAAAAAAATTGACATAACTGTTAAGTTTTTATTTAAATTTGACCATACTTAAAACACTCGTGCTCTGTTACAATTTTAATGCACGTTAGTTAATAAAGTTAGTTAATAACATAACAAAAATGTAAATTAATAGTTTATTTATTATATGAGATATACGGACGAGTCCTTTTTTTAAATTAATACATAGAATAGATATAATATTATACAGTAGCAGAAAATAAATTTTACAATAAGTAAATAGAGTAATTAAATTTCGTAAACGGACATGAGAAAAGAAGTATCTGCATTGGCTCGAGACGCATGACGCATTAACCGTCTAATAGGCTCATTGCACGTGTGGTTGGTGGACGAATGAGGAATATAGAAGGGGATAGCAGATCTAGATATGCGCTGAGGAACCTTAAATTGAAGTAAAGAGACGAGGACGGGTGAATATATTTAATCTTAACTTCCAAATAATAACTGGAAAAAGTCAATTTGTTACAGTGGTTTGATCGAGGTGGTCAGATATAATAAAAAAATCTATTTGTTTGCCAATGTTTTATTTTTCAACCGCTGTTTACGCTCCCACTTGTTATAACGACGGTACAATTTATAACTCACACTCATTTGTAGGCGAATTTCAATACCTCCTGTCTGTCGCGTGCTTATAGGATTAAAAGCGCACCGGGTTATTGTTCTATTTGACGGGAACAACGAAATCGATATTGTCGTTTCGTGGTAAAAACTCGAAGGTTAAAGGACTACGTCAACTTATTATTGTTGTCGTGCACCAACCGAGTTGGCGACGGCGCGCACTCGAACGTCCTTCGTCCGTCTACCCACTGCAGGACCGTTCGAATAAGAAATATTATAATAATAAGGGGAAAAAAAACAATTAATTCATAAACTTTTCGCTCGGAGCACGTATCACACATCGTTTGCAACCATCTTCGAGCCGCTGTTTTCGTAACGAGATAGAGACCAGGGATTATTTTAAGGATTTTTATCAACTACGCATTTTGTTTAAATAAGCCTATCAAAATAGAACTATGATCTCAAAATATACTGTCAAATTATAGTTAAAAATGATAAAATGTGTAGCTTCTATGTGAAGTAATTTAAAATGTAATGTATTTAAAAGATATAAATAAAACAATTTACATTCGTGTTCAAAGTATTTTTTTTTTTTTTAATATTTTTTAGTAAATTTCCTTTTCACTTCGTTTATAAATCATAATGCAATGTATAAAACAACACTAAACAACATTGAATCAAAAATCAATTTCCCAACAGTCTATTATCAAGTGCGCATCTACCTTTTCCAAATGCGCAAAATAAGCCCAACTGCGGTTTAGAATAAGCCCTGATAGAGGCTTTTACAACGAACCCAAAGGCGAGCACTGCGATTTTCCGCCGAACACCGTTGCTGCGGTGGTTCTCACTGTTCGGAGCGGCGGACCGAGAACAACGGTATGATTGATTATGTCCGTCCGGGACGTTTTATGGTCGTCGCGACTGAACCACCGACGGTTTCCCATAGCCACGTGGAAAAGTATTGATAATTTATGTCGTTCCGGAACGGACTGCGGTCAAGACCACTGCGATCACCGCGTGTTGTAATTGCAATACCGTACGCAGTCGGAGCACAGGGAACGCGGTCCGAGCGTGGCGTACACACGTGATTTGTAATAATTTAGAAAAGTCTAAACGCTGACAATGCGAGTGCGCTGCAATATTTTCTCGCCGCGGCGCGCTAAAGTCGCACATAAATCACACGCGCCGGACACGCGATAATAGATTTCGCGAACGCGCGCGTACATCATATCGGTACGCGTTCGATTATAACATACGTATTTTATAAACGTATGGAAGAAGGTAAAAAAAAAAAAAAAAATGAAAAAAATGAAAACGTAGAATGTTATTGCCGTTAAATGTCATTATTTATTCGTAGAACAACCCATTCCCGGCGCGGAACGTCTTAAGTCGCTTATTATGAATATTCGAGAGGAAGCGCAGAACTCGTTAAGGAATAATATATTGTTATTATTTTCGTTTCGCGCCGTGATACCGCGGTGTGTAATATGTCATTATATCATATCTGCAGCGTTTGAATTATCGTACTCGTTTCTATAACCTTTCCATACATCGGGCAAAAAACCGAACTGCAATAAGCGACCGCTTGGTTTTCGCGTCCAAACCGAACTGCGACGGAACTTGCACGCGTCTTCGCGTTAAACGGCGACTCCATAGATAATTTTACGGATGTTTCGAAAACGCGTTTAATCCGTTTTTTTCGTCGAAATCGAACCGTAAGAGACGTCATAACCATAAGCGTGCACACGGGGTAGTCAGGGTAGGTACTTGACTATTCTGTGAAACTTCCCACCCTCACCAAAATATTCAATATGATCACAATAATAAATAAACATATTATTTTCAACCACTTCGAAACATTAGTTAACGTTAAAAAAATGTAAGAATACTGGAGAAATATAGTTATTAAGTTAAATGAAGTTACGAATGCAAATTTTTTGTTAATATTAAATGATAATGTGTTATGTTTGACTACCCTGCCAGTTATGTCTGCACACGCTTATGGTCATAACCCATGCCCGTACTGACCGTAACGCCACTGATACCAGGGGCGTACCCGGGAATTTTTATGGTGAGGAGGGGAGGTCCAAAATTTTTATTTTATCTGTTCTCTAATTATAGTTACAGTTTAATTCAGTACCAACAAATTACTGTTAATAACTATAGTACGGTTTATACATTATATAATCTATAAAATTTGTATATTGAAGTTAACGGGGAACTAAAATACACTATATACCTGCTATTATTGTACTATTTACTATTAAACCGTTGAGTATGTAGAAATATCAATGGAGGGCCCGGACCCGAACCCCCCCTCCTCTTGGATACGCCCCTGACTGATACCTAATATAACCGAGAACACGTTGTTCCAAAATTAGCTTTAACTCTCCATTGTTTGCGGACACGGGACTCATAATCGATTTTTTTCCCGGCCCTGTTTCAGTCGTTTTTCGGCCGGACCTACAACAACCTGGGCTCGATATCCGAGTGCAAGAACAACGGCGAGTGCGTGATCAACAAGAAGAACCGGACGTCGTGCAAGGCGTGCCGGTTGCGCAAGTGCCTGGTGGTGGGCATGTCCAAGAGCGGGTCCAGGTACGGACGGCGGTCCAACTGGTTCAAGATCCATTGCCTGCTCCAGGAACAGCAGCACCACCAGCAGCACCGGAGCCAGCAGCACCAGCAGCAGCACCAGCAGCTGCAGCATCGATCGGTCGGCGTCGGGTTGCACTTCCAGCAGCACTCGGTAGCGGGCAGGACGCCGCCGCTGCCACTGCCGCCATCGCTGCCACCACCGCCGCCGCCATCGTGGGCGGACGTCAAACACCACATGCGCCTGGACGCGGACAACAACAACTCGGTGGCCGGCGACCTGAACAAGCAGCAGGACTACGGTGTGGTCGGCACCGGCGGCCGGCTGTCCGCGTCCGCTGCCGCCGCGGCCGCGGCCGTCGTGCAGGCCGTCCGACCGGAACTGCTGCGGTGGCCGTCGCCGTTCTTCCCGGCGTTCCCGTTCCCGCCGCCCGCGCCGTTCTTCATGGCGGCCATGCAGCCGGCGCCGCATCACGGGACCCGGTCGCCGCCGACCGACAGCCCGGCGTCCCGATCGTCGTCGTCCTCGTGCACCGACGACCACGACAGACTCGCCCGGTCGCGGTCTCCCGCGGAACGAGTAGCGGTGCGCCGCGATCTGCTGCCCGTCCAGGAGTCGCCCATGGACCTGTCCGTGTCCTCCGCCGCCGCGCCACCGTCACCGTCGCCGTCACCGTCCTCGTCGCCGTCGATCGACGAAAACGGCGTGGGTCGAAGCCGGTCCCAGTTGGCGGCCGACCGGACGTCCGGTTCCGGCGACCCGGACGTTTCCGAATCCGAATCCGATTCGGAAGGGTCGGCGGCGGTCGGCGACGGCGAGCGGACCGCGAAAAACTTGCCCTTGGACCTGACGTACGACCAGCGCGCATGACGCCGATCCATCATTTCTCTCTCTCTCCCTTCGCCGACCGTGACACCGATGTCCCGTGAAAACGTGCGAAAACTCAATGTACATCAATTGTAATTAAAACAAAAAAAAAAAACATGTACACAGCATGATAATATACAGTCTAACGGACTCGTTTCGTATTCATTTTATTTGTTTTCTTCCGTCCACATTCCTCTGCCGGTCCAGTTGTGTGTACACCTCCAAGAACGTTCCACCCGCAGACATCAACGACCAGTGTCGTTATTCGCGGATAGTTCTGCCATCCGCTATGGTGTATTGGTTACAATTCCCCTCTCCCTCCTGTGTTTCTTTTCTGCGCATCGAATATTTTTCAACTCTAATGTCATATTTGTATGTTTTACGAATGTTTGTAAAAACATCGTGAAAACGATCGGAGTAAATATTTTATCCTTTCATTTGTTAATTTTAAACAACATCACGATCAAAACTCGAGTTACACCGCCAAACCGCCGATCCGCGGATTGTTATCATCGAAAGCCCCGAAAATCGTTAACTAAATGTTTAATGTACAACCGTTAGTACAGTTTGGAACATTCAGTTTCGACGAATTCCATCAGGATCTCGGACAATGCAATGTTTTCGTGTTGGTAAAGAATCGACCAAATCATTTGAACAATCGTTAGAAAAAAAAAAGTGAGCGCACTGTACTTGGACCGACTCACGGATTACAATAAATAATAATTAATAACGATCACACACACACACACACACACACACACACACACACGTCGAAACAGAATAAAACGAGATCGTTATCATTATAGTACATTCGATAAGTTTTAAGTAATATATATATATATATATTTAGGTTGTACGCTGTATTTAAGGTAACGTATAAGAATCAATTTTTATTTAACTCGTCCTCGCTTGATCGTTATTATCGAAATGAAAAAAATATACGTCCACGTAAATGTTAATTCCAATAGATTATATTTTTTAATCATTCGTTTGTTACAGGAACGGCTATTAAAATACTATAATGTTATGACGAGCGTGCGATACAGAATTTTTTCCTCTACGAGCGCGAAGGCGTAAAAAAAAAAATATAAAACTTTTTTACGTTCCGAAGTGATTACGCTCGCACGCTCGTAGTACGTGTACACGTACGGATATTTTAAATAAAAAATATTATTGTTCGGGACGCATTGCGGTTAAAGCGATGGAATCGGTAAACGGTTCCGGTAATAAACGTTGGGGTTCGCGTTATATTATTGTTCCGAAAACGTTATATTAATTTTAAACGGTACATGTTTCGACCGGTAGTATCCGTTGTCATGGTTGTCGGACGCGCACGCGAAAACGTAAAATCGTACTCCGGACTACTGATGAACAGCTGGCGGTCGAGTCGATCGTTTTCCCATAGCCGGTCGGACGAACGTAAAACAAGTTTTCAATTTCTTTTGTTCCTAATTACCTGTACAGTGTACATCTATTGCGCCGGTATAAAAACGGTATATTTAAAAGGGGCGTAACACGTTTCCACCAAAAGTGTATCTTTCCCTTTTCCACCACAATATCCGTGTTTCCACCAAATGAGATAGAATACCTATACTCTTCGTGAGTTTTTCGGATTTATGTAAAATATATATAAATATACACACAATATAATCAATGTATATTGTACATTTATTGTATTTAATCGTATGTTAAACCGTTACCGTACTTATGCGTGTACTCATAACATTAACCATGATAATATCTAAATAATCGAATACTTTATGAACAAATGAAAAGATGGCACAGTTTAAATATTGCATTACAACTGTGTGTGTGTGTGTGTGTGTGTGTGTGTGTTAAAATAAAACGTAAATTTTAAAATTTATAAGTCTGTGATGGCTAAAGTTATCGGAAGTAAACGCAGAAATAAAACACTAGAACTAAACAATTTTAAATTTTTTATTGGATCAGTTAACAAATATCAACTAATTATATATTAGTTATAATTTGTATAGGTAACTAAGGTATCGCATACCATAATATATCATTTTTTTCACCTTTTTATATCTAACCATTTTTATAAATAAAATTTAACATTTTCCAACCTATATTGTAAATATTATACAATGACTTTACATTTATTGAATTAATAGTATATGTTGAATAAAGTTATTTTTGTGCTATAGCTTTTAATTTAAGCGCAGTATACAATTTTTTTGGTAAAAATGTGGTCAGTATCTCATTTGGTGGAAACGGATATTGGTGGAAAAGGGCATCGCCCTTTAAAAGGTATACGTCTATTGCGCCGGTATAAGAACTATACAGTACAAGTAAAAATCATAATGGCTGAAAACAAGAATTAAAATCAAACTAATCATTTTACATACTTGGAATTTACATTAGTAGTATATTATATATTTATATATATTTACACTTATCCTATAAATGTTGAAAAGTTCTCAGGTATGATATTAAAATTAGTTATGTCTATTTTACTATTTATTTGTTTGTCATAAATTTAGAGTTTGGTCTATTTTTGAGAACACGTATTATGATTGTTGTGTTACATCATTTTTAAAACTTCATAAAAAACAAAAATATTTGGATGGGGTTAGTAAAAATATAAAAAATAGATATAGATAAGGTAATTTTAAGCACAATTTATAAACTCCTCTATAAATTATACCCTTTTTATACTGGCGCAATAGATGTATACCTTTTTTCCATCCCATAATTTTTCTTTCTTTACCTGCGATTTTCAGTGCAATTGATATAAAGCTGCGTCATCTATCGTTATTTTCGTCACGGGACGAGAACGGGTTCGCGACGGACCGCACGTCGATGCGGAAGCATAATATCGCATCCCTAGAGTACAAACAGTATAACTCAAAAAAATTTCGATTTAGAGATGGTACCACCGCGAGATAAATATCTATTATTGGCGCTCCTTTCGTTTTTCTTATCTTTTTTCAAGATTAATTCAAAGTAAAATGCAATAAACATGTAAAATATAATTGTTTTTCTCTTTAAGATTGTTTATTATTGAAGTTGATTTTTTTTTTGTTGTGATGTTGAGTTTTAGGGAATTCCTTAAACTCCTATAAGAATACAAAACAAAGATTAACGACAACTAATTAAAAAAACTCAAAATATCGTAAAAAATGATATTTTCAGGTGGTTTTAAAAATTCTTAAAATATTTAATCACTTTTTTTCGGTGATTACTATTTGTGAGTTGTGCTGTTTGCATTCTAGGGGTGCGATATGTCGTCGTACCGGGAACGACGCCTGAGCCTTGAAAGCGGAAAGTGTCTGGTGTGTGCGAACGGTCAAAACCCGAAACGTTGCGATCACGACGAACTAGTGTTTCGTCCGGTAACGGAATATCTGTATGCAAAACGTCGTTGGTACAGTACTGCATATTGAACAACGGGACTAGAGCCTTATGTGTACGGATATGCTAATAGCATCGCGTCCCCGTATTTCCGTAGGGAAACTATCCGTGACCGCTCCTCGCCGCTACAGGGGTTTGACATTTTTCCAATCCCGGTCGTTTTTCCAGACGAGAAATCTCCGCATGCCACTTACATCATGTTCATGACTTACATATGTTCCTGAGTCGACAACAATAAAACGATATACATAGATTCTTAGGATCGTTTCACACGGGAAATATGGTATCAACTGTAAGTTTCGGCCGTCAATCGCGTGTAACAACCCGTTGACGTTCCAAAGTTCCGGTACACTCGTCCTAACCGTTTTCACGTATGTACCACCGGATATGTCGCACTATCAGTGCAAGGGGGCCATATATCAAAAATATTAAATTGTTCAGGAGAACATGTCTAACGTTTAATAATTTATAGTAATTTGTAATTTTCTTCTGCTAAATACCACTTTAACTAACTAGACCAGAAATGTTTTTATAATATTGTTACCAATAAGTGTAATTAAAAGACCAAATTTTGTACTACGGCTTTATTGTTTTCAGCTACCTCTGGATCTGTCTTAGTGCAATAAGTTTATTTATATAACTGACGGTTTAAAAATATAATTAGATAGATCGCGCCACTACAAAAAAAAAAAGAAAAAAAAATGGATTATTTGGAAAAAAATTGGAGATACCAAAAACGTAAATTTAAAATTTTGGCTGTAGCCTATTTGCACCCCAGAATAGTACATTTGCACCCCAGAGATGTAGACAGATGCGCCCGAAAGATAAGGTACTATGATTTATAGCACATATGCGCCCATTTCGCATACAACGCTGCCATTGTGATTTATAATATAGATTATTTTTATATTGATAAACATTTAAATTAAGTAGATAAGTTTAATATACTATTATAGTACTTTAATAATAATTCAACATTTTGGGTTTAAAAAAATTAGTCAATATGACAATAACTCGATTATTTTCACTCGATCATGCTCATTAATATGTACAATATTTTTAACTTTATAAGGTTAATAAATAGTATGTCTTGTATTCCAGAATACAATTTGGCAACGTTGCCCGGGTTTACAAATTTTTATTAAAAATATTTCGGGCGCAAATGGGTCATAAAAAAGTTGTGATGGGCGCAAATGGTTCTCATCGAAAATTTTTTGATATACGGCCCTCTTGCGCTGATAGCGCGACGTGTTTCGAGAGTCCTTGTCCGAGAGCGATTCGTCACACCGCTTTCTCGAATCGCACCGAAAACGAATCGCTATGACAAACAATGGATCGCGGACGGGATAACACCGATTGATGTGTACGCGCAAGACGATCCTCCGAACCACGTGAGAATCTCGGTTTCGTTGCGTATAAATCATATTCATCGCTTAATCTTCCGCGAAAAAAAAGCCTACATTATCCGGCCGAACGATGTCCGCCCGACAACCGATTGCTTCATTCCGGTTCATCCGTGTCTTATTATTGTACATGCTCAGCGGTGGTTCAAACTCGTTTTCAAACGATAGACCGAACAAGTTAACCATCGTTTTTCTATAATAACGTATACTTTTTTTTTTTTCAATCCATTCGACATTTTGACGTATTTACTTGTACGTACCTTGATCGATAATACTTAATATAAAGCTAATTGAAAAAAAGAAAGCTTTAAAATATTTTTAACTAAAAAAAAAAAGAAAAAAATATTTTCTAAAAACTATTGCATTTGAAACAGGTTAAATGTGTTAAAT